AAGACATTCAAATCAACAGCACATAATAGTCGTATATACATAATCCCAGATTATAGGGTAAATCTACTGTTTATGATTCTTTAAACTCAGGAAAGTGATCATTTTGTTGATTTCAAACACATATTTTGGAAATCTTGAAGTTGAATTATGTTAACTAAATATGGTACATTTAAAATTTAAAAAAATGGATGAGGGTTCAGTTAGAAGTGCTTAAATATAAAATAAAAAATAAAGAAAACAAAGAGGTCTCTAGAAATGTTTCAAGGGTTAAATGTGACTTTTTTTTAAATTACGATATTTTGTATAGACATTGAAATATAAAGAAATCAACCAGGAAATTACAGAAAATTAAGATTATACAATAGAATACAAAAAATAACTGCATCAAAAGCAAAAGTTTTGACACATTTGATAGGCTGGAGCAAGAAAAGATTAGCATGAAAAATAAATAATTTTTAATACTGGCAGAATGTTAATCAATCAATAATTTACATTTTAATATCTAAAAGAATATTCTACTTTCCCTCCTCATCGTGTTTCACATTTTGGAGTTAGAGTACATCTTGAAACATTATGTTTGTACAAAAGTACTCTAATATCTTGAATGCACAAAAAAAAAGACCACATAACATACGTATGGTGTTTGAAAGCGACCTCTGCCATCTGGTGGTGATGAGACATCATTACAATCTTACAGGAGGTGACAACATGAGTGCAAATAATCCCATAAAATCCATGAGACTTTTCCAAACCAAAAATAATGTTGTAGGAACTGTAGAATAATGTTTGTTTTTCTAATTATCTTTTATTACAAACCAGAATAGTTTACTCTTCATTCGTACTGAAATCTGAAAATGTTATTTTTTTCTTCTTTGATGTAATCATGTTGTTATAGAATAGAATAGAATGTCTTTATTGTCATTATACAATTGTACAACGAAATTATTTGGCGTCACCTTAAAGTGCACACACATACAAGCATCCACAGCTAAAAACAACAAAAGAAGAGAAAGAGAAAAAAAAGGAACTCTCATTCAGGTAAGATGGGCAATGTATGGTAGGAGTTATTTACATGTAGTAGCATAACAGAATATAAATAGATATTGCAGAAATATAAAATAAATATTGTATTGTGTGTATATAATCATGTTGTTAGCAAAATTGGCCAAAAACATTTCTCAAAGTTGACAAAAAAAAAGAAAAGTTTACATGTACAAGGTGATCATAACTGCAGAGGAAGAAGATTGTGTGACATGATCAAGTTGGGTAAAAGAAGGTGTTGTTGAGGGACATTTGCATTTACATTAAAGTATAGGACTAGTCAGGTGTGTTATTGTGCCCTGTATATTCTTATGATGTACCTTAACCTGTATGGATCAAACTGACGTGGCCTCTATGACTCAAGTGACTTTGTAGAATTTGAATCTTTTTAATTCATATTTAATCAATTTATACATTTTTAAGAAGTCTTACATAAAGTTTTCTCCAGTGGCACAGTCTGGACATTTTACGCAGGGCGGGGTCTGCTCCTCCTGCAGGTTGGTCAGCTTTGGCACACCTGGAGAGGGACTGGCACCAGTAAAAAAAAACAAAAAAAACAGACCACTGCTGGCTCCACTTCATGTCAGTCTAGTCCAAGTAATCAGCCTCACAGATATGACGATGCTCCGTGGAGATTGTAAGTTTACATGGTCTGATTTACATCACGCGCGATGAATGTCACATGGGGTTTGCTGACGGTTCTGGGTCTGGTGTGCCACACCGAGTCGAGGTGCTCACCGACTTCTTACTACAAGAACTGCTGGATCAGACGCTTTCCGGGGATTTTTATTAACATCGAGGAGTCTCAGAGGAGAGGAGCTCAGCTTTTACAGTCTTACCAGGAGGAGACCGCGCTCAAATGCAGCCGCACCTGCTGCCTTACGAGAAACTGTGAGTAATGCTTCTGAATCAGCAGCTATCGACCGTTCAGTGGAAAAGTTTCGCCCTTCCACAGACGTATCTCATTGATTTGTCGCCTTTCCTCTCTCGCAGTTTCCTGTAATCTGGCAATTTTTCACTTCGAAACCTCTCAAGAAAACGTGAACTGCTTCCACCTGCACTGTCCAACCCTGGAGAGCTGCATCCTCAGCCACAGAGGAAACGTTGTTCTCTACAACATCACGAACGGTAAGTAAGGAATAAGAAAAATATCTTTGAACTTTCCTTTACTGGAAACTCTCCTTGTTTACAGATGGACTTAAACCAAAGAATTTCAGATTCATATATATATAAAAATCCCTATAATAAAAATACTAATGCTGCAGCTCCATAACAAGCATAGACTGTAGACATACCAGTCTGAAATCAAAAGTGAGATCTGCCCTTACTTGAATATTTAAAGACTAGTTTAAAGGTGATTTTGAGTATTCTCATTTTCTTACTTACAGCACTTTAAAAGCAAAGGTTTCCTGTTACATTGCAGGTTTAACATTTGTGTCTATTCCAACGATGACAATTAAAAACTTTGTCAAAATACAACATTAAAATGAGGCCTAGTACTTCTTATTCTTAAATCAAAGTTAAATGTTAAATTCTTGAACAAATGTAAAAAGTATAAATCCACTGGTTTCCTTCTTGATAAAATTGTTGACACTTTTTTTTTTTTTTTTAAACACCTGTATGTTTAACTTTATTGGCAAAAAGTAAAGAAACAAACAAAGTGAATAGGGGCCTTCTTTGTGTAGGACAGCTTGCTAGAGAGACAGGACGTGTGGGGGGGGGGGGGGGGGGGGGAGCGGGGGATGACATGCGGCAAAGGGCTCAGGTCGGATCCGAACCCACAGTTCCTGCGACAAGGACTAGAGCCTCTGTACATGGAGCGTGCGACATAAGGCTATCCAGCGCCCCTTGATGATGTTGTTTTTGTTTCTTAGGTGTGGATCCTGACCTGTTGGTGTTTGGAAAATACTTCACCTCAAATGTTCGAGTGTTACCCCACCACTACAGTCGAGTGAACGCCTCAGAGCCGCTGTCTTCGGACAAAAGACAGTTCAATCATCCACCTCCACCCGCTGCAGTGCCCCCGACTGCTGCTACTACTGTTAAACTCCCAACAAGCAGAGTGTTTACGACTACCACTGCCAAATCCACCAAATCCATTATCTCCACCACTCTGCAGAGAACAAGTCGGCCGTCTACAGTTCCTACAACTACACCTGCTTTCTTTTCAACTCCAGAGACTCTGCTACCTGCAGGAAATGATGTGCAAACAACGCCCCCGACCATCTCCATCTCCATCTCATCCTCTGCCCCCAGCTTTTCTACTTCTCCTTCATCTACCTCAGCAACCACCCACAGCCATCACATCCCCAAAACCACTCCTGCCTTTTTCACCACAACTTCACAGCCCTCCACCGTGTCACCTACGCTTCACCGCAGCACCACTGCCTCACAGAAGCCCACCACAGCTCAAATGGGAAATATAGAGAGCAGCAAGCAAAACCCCAACGACACCAAGGGCAGCCTGGGGAGGAACCACACTGCAGGCAGTGAGGGCGGGCAGGGTGTTAGTGGGGGAGACACTTTAGAGGGTTTGGGACCAGGTTGGCATGTAGCTACGCACACCCTGCTGGTTGCGGTTGTTGTCTGCATCACAGTGCTGCTGAGCTGCTGCTGCTCCTTTCTGCTGGTGGTGAGCTGGAGGGGTCAGAGGAAGAGGATGGGAAGATATCGGACGTCATGGAGAGGGAAAAGAGGCTCCATGCGTCTGATAAAGTATGTGCTGGTCAGAGAAAACACCTGAAGGTGAAACAAAACGATGGCGCAGAGATTTATTTTTCACGTTTACAGTGTTTTAAAGAATGCATCCTGGATTAGCTGGCATTTAATACACATAATTTTTTGACTACTTTTAATTAATGGCAAGGACATATCTTTAAATTGCTTTAGGCTAACAGATAGCAATGAAGCTATTTTACAATCTTGGAAAAACATCTGCAATCATCTGATGACGCTTCTGGGAGCTTTTAACTTTTATTTTGGGCTTGCAGTGCAGCTTGTTGTTAGCTTGGAAGGACTTTGTTTACATTGTTTACATCCAGGTGTTGCAGGAGAGAATCGACGAGAGGATTATTAGCTGCACTTGTATGCTGAGATCAGTTTTATAGGCGATTAAAGCTAAATGTTGTAAGATGACTGCTGATTGGTTCTGGGAGTACAGACAGATTGAATTCTACTTCTTTGGCTTTCCACACAGACTGTTTGACTCCATACAGACAGCGGCTGCTGAAACACTAGTGGATGATAATATTTAGACTAAATCCAAAAAAAAAAAAAAAAACAGAGCACTTTTAATACCAATGTCTGGTCCTATAACTACAGATCATGTTGTTTTATACATGAAGAAATAAATTATAGTTACTATGACTTTGGTTTGACTTACAATGCAAGAATAGTCGTCAGAAGAAGTAGACACAGCCAATATTAGTTAACAGAATTTTGCCTCTAAAACACATCCATTTTTTTTTTTTTTTAAGCACTTCAATGAGTTGATGCTGATGTTGATGCCAAACCTCAAGGACCTTGGCCAGTTGTTGTCTTTGCTGGTCTTAAGTGGTACTTGACATTTTCAAGACTCCAGACTTCAGTTAAAGGGGGTTGTTCACATCTTCAGCAGCGTGTGATGATGGGACCACTTTCTGCCTTCGGTCTTTGAACCCTGGTGCACTCCAGCACTCATCTTCTCAGTGAATCCGATTCCTCTTGATCTTAGAGTTCACAAACCACAGACCAAAAAAAAAAAAAAAAAAAAAAAATCTCTAAGAGGGGGGTGAAGTACTTTTCAACAACCTGCTGCTGAAAGCATCCTTTTCACAAGGGGAGCCAGCGCTCGCTGACACCGGACAGTGATGAGAGCGGAACGGGAGCTGAAGCTTGGAACTGACTGAAGTGGGCTTTTTTTTTTTTGTATTGTAAAGGCTTTAACTTTCATGTGTGCAAACTTCAAAGATAGAACTCTCTTAGCAACAGGATTCATTCGACTTTTATTTGTGTGTGGAAGACAGCATCATACAGTTGACATGGCAGGACATTGTTTTGGAAAATAAATACATCAGTTGAGACCCTTAAAGTTGGAATATCTGGGTTTATGTTGGAACAGATTTTTTTGACTCTTGATTGTGTAACTGGAGTCCAGAATAATGTACAAATATTGAAAACTGTTTGAGATATCAGCATGTAAATGAAGTTGTATTACAGGTCGAGTACTTTCTTCACAGCCTCTTTGTACTGCAGCATGGTGCTCTCACTCTCTCCCTCATTCTTCAACCTCGTGACAGAGTCCTTATACTCCTGCACCTCTTTTATCCCCAGCAGCTGCTCTCGCACCTCGCCTTCGCCTTCCACGGCCACTTTCATGCGTACCAGAACATTCAGCATATTCTTTTGAGACGGACTGTCCTCCCAGCTGTACTCCTCCATGTCTGCCACCGTCTTCTCATCCTCCCACGCCTCCGTTTTCTAAAAGAAAAAGAACAACAGAACACATTCCATTTTACATCAGCAAATGCGTCACACTAATCCAAAACACTTTTTTTTAAAGCAAATCAGTCGAGGGATTGATTTCCAATATGGCAACAGGTGTCAAATATGGGGGTCCTCTCCTCCCCTCAGCCCCTTCCTTGGATGCTCCTCTCACAGAGATAGTATTTCTCCATATGTAGGTCTCCATCCTCTGGCTGTCATCACCTTCTCTTGAGAACAATACATCCCACTGTGCAGCAGCTTTAAAGCAGTGCAGTGAGCCTCAGCTCTCTTACTCTCCAGGTGTTTGAGGTTAATAACCATCATTACCTCCAAACATATCTGATCCACATTACATCACATCTGGAACAGGTTTAGTGAGGAGCATCAGATACTCGGGGGGGAATAGATCAATAGCTTAATTTTCGATCAGAAGGTCCTCTGCGGTGTGTGACGCTGCAAAAAGAAAAAGGACCTGCAGATACGGTGCGTTCCTATTCAACCCTCTTCTGTAACTTTTCTATAGTTATGATCACAAATTAAAGGGGCTTTTATTGAGTTTGCATTAAAAGAATTTACACAAAGAGTCAACTTTAAATTGGAGGAAGGGTGGCTATTACATGGTTTTTTAAAAAGGTATTTACAAGGACAAATCTGAAGGTGCTTTGCCTTGAAGCCTCTGAGTACCATCAGGTCAAACCGACTGACTCCAGGGGAACTTGTGCAAGCAACAGAAGTCTGCTGTTTGCTCTGCTGTAAAGCGTAAAAGAGTCCAAAGGGGGGCTTATGCAAAACAGAAATCGCTGTATGGCTCATATTTGGAGGATTTTAGAGCTCATGTCAAGTCAGTCTAAACGTAACGCTCTTGTTCTGTACAGTCAAAAGTTTGACCTGGCAAAATGTCAACCTTTGTGATGCTATTGCAGCTACTCTACAGTATGCTAAATGAATCATGCTCAAGTGTTGACAGGTCTGGCAGTGTGTCTCTCCGTGCATCCATCACTAAGTGGTTCGGAGAGTATCTGATAACTTGTCAGGAGACAAATGCCCACCTGTTATCTGGATAAAGTTTGAGTACTTGCTACATTAACATTTGTTTTCAGTTCAGGGACAGGACAGGTGTTTGGCGGGAAGGCGCACACGCACACGCACACACACACACACACGCACACAGTGTATGCAGTGCCTCTAGTGGCGGACTCCCCTCCATGCCTGGATTAGCACACACTAGAATTAGTATTGAGGGTCTGTCGCACTGAGTGGGGAGATAAAATCTTTTCAGCGGCGGATAACAATTGGCTCCTTTGTGGGCTAGCATTTCAACCTGAACGTTACGCCACTCTCACAGCTTCCCTGAGCCTGCTGGACAAGCACTGTGCCTTTCATTGTGTGTCCAAAAGGGCACTACACTGTTCTGCTCTCTGGCTTGGACGCCTTCCCCAAACTAAGAGATTTTTTTTTTTTTTTTTCCTATTTTTATTTGCACCAGCCATGACGAGAAAAACTCTTAGATGGCAAAGGTTCTTTCATGTGCATGGCTGTAAACTCATTTGAACAGCGCCTCCGGTAATGACCAGGTGGCAGACTTCTCTGATGCTTGGCTTGATGTGAATGAGTATCAGGGTCAACACCTGAAAGGGGAGTCTGTGTCCCCCCATCAGCAGGGAAATGTCAACTGGACAATGTGGCTGTTTGCTGTCCCTCTGCCCATTCAAGTCTGATACCTCCCTAATGGGCTCAGGCCCTCAGATCACAGAGCGAGATGGATGAGAATTTAAAGTAAAACGGTAGTGGAGTGTTCCTCCGGGCGTACAGAAATGTCACCAACTTTGATAAACCGGTAGACGTGAATGTTTGCAGCAGTTTACTCCCACAGCAGCTGATACAAAACATTTAAAAAAAAGACATAAGCTCTAAATAAAAAGGAGTCGTTAATAAGGACATGACTAAATGAATGTTATCAAAAACAATGAAACAATGTTAAAACCTCTCAGGTCAACTTCAACTCAATTCAGGAAGCTTTGTCGGCATGAATGAGAAGATATTGCCAAAGCAGATAAGAGCAAATATATAATAAGAATCTATCTGCTCACTATGCCTCTGTTATCAGATGATTTTGACTTATCTCTATCATGAAACCAGCCCGCAAAGTAAGTACACTTTTACACTTTTACACAGACTGACAGGGAGAACTGTTTTTTTTTCTTCTTATGATCACTATGACTGATACATCGCTCTTTGATATCACATTCAGCAGAGTAAATGAACTCACCCAGGACTCGTGGTAAAGCACAGTCAGCAGGTACATGGCGTAGTCCTGGTTCTGCTGTCTCAGTGGGCAGCTGGTAAAGGGAGGGAGCGATAAGTGCATTTGTTTGATCTCCTCACTGATTCTAATTCATGTTTGACCCTGTCGACGGGTTGTTTACCTGTCAGCTCTGATGGTGAGGGTATCCGTGTCTTTGTTGTATCTCTCCCCGACAAGTTTGAGCATTTTTCTCTGTGCATGTTTGTCCAGGTTAAAACTGGACAACTTGACCTGAAAGAGAAATGACAGTGACACAGTTAGAGGAACAAGAGAGAGGCGCTATAGTTCAGACATTAAGTTTGCATTTTAAAGAGAGAAACAGATGTCCTTTCATGGTGTTTTGCACCTTCTGTCTGAAGCTCTTGTCCCTTTAAAATGAAAACCTCAACTTAAAGAGAGAACAATGTTTGTTTTTAACCTGTTCAGAGCTCTGACTGTGGAGATTACTTTACTTTCCATAGATGAAATCAGAGCATGTATGCTATAGTGCAGCAGACCTCTAAGCCTCTTTCACATTGGAAAGAAGTAGAAGATAAGAGATTATTTCTTGATACATTGTTAAGGATCTTTTTTTAGAAAATTGTTAGAAAGCAACAAAACGCCTGTAAACTTGTTTTCTGGTTGCTTAAGCTCGTGCACGGACAGCATGAGGTCAGATGTGTTTTATTTTGTGATGTGCAGAGACAATGAGAAGGATACATTTGTTGCCTCTGGGACTCCTTACCACAGATTTAGTTTGCAGGTTTCCCTCACTGCTTTTACCCCACTAAGATAAAATATAATTTAAAGGAGAGCCCACTATATACAACCCCGGTCTAAATGCTGAATTAATTCTTGTTGTGCTGAAAATGGGGTCTTGTTCCACTTGCTCTGGATTTGGAACCTAATTGTGTGAGATTTGCTCGCCAATCTGTCTTTCTGCCTAATCCACCTGGATTAATGTCTGGATAATTCCTTCCACGCTGATATAATCTGAGGCAAAGTGTCTGTGGAGCTGACGGCTCACGGCTCACGGTCTAAAAAAAGACACATTTTCACCTGCAGAGACGACACATATGTGAATTCTGATGTGTCTCTATAATGTTGTGAGGCATCATTTGTCTTTTTGGGTAACAATAGCTGGTTGGCAACTGATCTTTGTAAACACACAGACACAAGTGAAACTGTCAAACAACAACAACAACGCCTTCACACTGAGGTCATAACTTCTCCTGCATTTCTTTCCCTCTTCGTTCACTGATAGAACCTTAAGTGTAAATCTCCTTACAGATGGATTGTGGGTGTTATGTGTTGTTTCATGTTTCCATTATGGCTCTGCTCTGTGAGGAGGATTGTATATTGATGGATTAGTGATGGTTGTGGTGGTGAAGGGATTAAGAGATATATGAAAATGTACCAACAAATATGTCGATGATAAACGGGTTTCTCTTACTTTCTTCTGAACAAACAAGAAGCTGATAAAAAACAAAACACTTTTCCTGAATATCTGCAGAATTAAATTAACACATGACATCATCAGAGTGTCAGCACATGCTTAAAGAGAAAACCACATCTCTGTAATCTCTCTCGTTTTAGACTTGACGGCTTCATTTCTTGGGTTTGAGGTCACTGGACGAAGATCGTCTGTCTGGATGAGTCACAGCAACATGATGTCAGCTGGTGATTATGAATCTGTGTAAATCTCTAATCTCATTTTTCATGTCGGGTTTCTCCACACTCCCTCCGATATATACATCCATGAAACACAGCTAAAGCTAGAGATCATCGGGTATAAGCGGAGGTCAGACAGCGGGAGCACTCACTTTGAGATGAACAATGCGAGCTGAAGGGTTTCTAACAGACTGGCCGGCTGACACGAAGTCCGTGCTTTCTACTTTGATGGGGAAGAGCTCGTCACATTTGGCATCGGAGTCCAGGGCAGAGGGCCACTCTGTGCAGAAGGCTGAGAATACACAGAGACGTGTTTAAATGCAAAATGAGCACATTTATGTTTAAGTAAGCAAAACACATTAAGAAATAGCTTTTCAATTTCAAAAAATGTATTACGTTTCAGGGCTTCACAGTGTTTCTTGATGGCTGCCGGCGTCAAATGCAGAAAGTTTGGGATCTGAAAAAGTCCCAAAGTCAAAGTCATCTTTATTGTCACTTTTTTCCATACATTTAGAAAAATCGAAAAAAGGTTTCTTTCGCTTGTCATGAGGACAATATGTCAACATAAGTGTCCCCTGTAGCATGTCCCCTGTTTCCATTTCCCTCCTTAATTCATGTCAGGTTGAGAGAGATAGTGGTGTTGGAAGCAATGATGCTGATGCCGTCGTTGTTTCAGTTTGTATCTTCGGTTTTGTGGTTTAATTTGAAACAAATGTTTCATGTCACGTACGTCTTTGTAACCTGCTACTGGATGCTTTGAATTTCCCTCGGGATCAATAAAGTATCTATCTATCTATCTATCTATCTGACCTCGGCTCTGTCTCTCTGGTCAGTTTGTGTTGGAAACATTGTCAGCAGTTACTCTCTCATATGTATGTAGGCTAATATGATTGTGGTTTTATTTCTGTATGTATTTGACTGTTGGAATGTGCACTTTTGAATTTGATTTCCAGAATGTCCCTGCAGAACTCACTGCTTCTACGCGATGCACAGAACGCTTACAGGCTAACATGCAGCTATATTATTTTACATTTATGGGAGTACAAGCGGGGAATTCCCTCGGTGAATCACTTTTTTCCATTTTTTATTTAATAAATTGTTTCTATGGGCTGTCTGACATCTCCAAGAGATTTCACATCACATACTTTTTTATGACTTTTCAAAAGTCTTTTAATTTAAAAATATTCTAATTTTTAAGGGGGCTAAAAACAGATTGGAAAACCTCATATATTCTGTTTCTCCTTTAAGTCAATAATTCATCTACAACACATAATTCTGTCATTAATGTTTAATTGACATTAAAATCTGATTGTCGCAGGTTAGATAATTCGCTTGTCGCCAGAGTGATGCATCTATAAGGCAGTGCTTAAAAAATAAAATCTTGCATCAAACTTAAGCAAAGGATGCATAACATTTAGCTCCTCGTGGCACACTGAGAGAAATAAATCAGTGTGGTTGGGATGCACAGCAGAGCTCCAGCAGTGACGGTGAAAAGTAGTGGATCTGCAAGTGGCTCAAGTCCAGATGGAGCAGCTGGTGTCTGGAATCAGCAGCTCAGTAATCCAGCTACAGAGATAGACTCCACAGAGCCATGCAGCATCATCTCACCCGTTTTCAACAAAGCTATAGCCACCGTGTGTTTTTAAAGTCTATCCTTATGGGGTGGTCACATTTAAGAAGTGAGGTCTGACCTTGATCAGCTCCAAGTTGCCCTTCTTCTCTGGTGGGACGCCTCCCTTCACAGGGTAGCCCATCCTCACAGGCAGCGGGACGGAGCTCGGCCTGAAGGGTGCAGCTGCTGGATAGACTGCAGTCCAGTCCTGATCCAGCGGCATCTTTTCTGTCCTAGGCTCCCCTGGCTGAAACAAAACACCGGAGACCAAAAAAACACGTTTTTTTTTTCAGGAAACTGTGTGAGGCTACCCATGTTTTTGTAGAACCATGACAACTCTCATGTGTTTAAAAGTAGTGCCCGACCATTATGGAATTTTTGGGGATGATATCGATATCAGATAAAGATATATTGGCTGATATTTTTCTTATATCAATCTTCAATCCAAAGAGAGAAATATATAGATACAGACACACATTTATGGCATTGATCCCTAAAATGCAGTTATCAAACACTCGTGGAAAAGATTCAAAATATTGACATGGATATGGTCACTCAACTGGAAAGTAACTGCACATGTACGTGCACCATCACTTGACAATCTGGAGTGCTAATGCTTGTTGTACTCTATACACACTCTGCTGGTGAAAGAGAACTGCTAGTGTAATACAATGAAACTGAAATTGAATGCTATTTGGTCGGTTAATAAATCTAGTAATATCAGAGATAAAAAAAAAAAAGTCGATGTCGTAGTCACCTTACATACACACCTTGCTAATATAGGCTGATATTATCGGCTGGCAGATGAATCGGTCGGGCTCTAACTGAAAGCACTGAACACTAATCTGTTCAATACAGACTTCACCCAGTGTTTTGATAAATGTTTGGCCTCATTTAAATACATGTATTTTTATACTGCCATTAAAAAAACGATATGAAGGCTGCACACTCACCTCTCTTCTAGGCTTTCTCACGGGTCCTCTTCCATTTCTCTGAGGAAAACCTACAAAATTGTTAATATTTGTTAAGTCACACACACACACACCTTTTTTTAAATGTGAAAAGATCCTGAATAAGCAGCATCAGCATTCACTTTGTGGAAACAGCGTTTGTGTACTGCTTTTCTGTTATCTGCAAAGACACTTTAACTTCAAAAAAATAATATGTTTTCTAAAGCATTATGTCTCCTTTTTTTTTTTTATCAAAAGAAACGATGCTTATATACAACCGGTGTATTTGAAGGTGTTTGTATTTCCTGCCTTTGCCTTGTATCATCATTTTTACAGTAATCATTTATGTATTGTACCAAAAGATGAATGCATACAACAACAAAATCAAAATTGACCTGACAATATTTGTTTTACACGTCTGTTTTCAGATTATTGCTTAAAATGTTTTGCTGCCGTGACATGAAGTAGATGGTTTATGACAGCAGTGCACCATCACACCTTCTTTGATATTATTCTTAATTGCTTGTTTGTTTGTTTTAATTTTTTGTTTGACTGGTTGTGGGGTAGAAAACACCATCCTTAAAAGTGTCATAATAAATAACTAAACAAATAGCCTTTAAATAAATAAAGACAAATTAATGCAATTAGGAATCGGTAATATCAATGTATAGATTCACTTGTTTGTCCTGTTTAAACACCCTAACTAGTTAATTATATGACTGTCAAATGACAGGAGGTTGTGTACTGTCCTCTGTTACAGCATTTGAAGCAGGTAGCTTCGCCTGCAAATGTGGCTCTGAATGGTTGAACTACTTTCATGAGATAGAGAAACTTACCTTTATCCCCTTTAGGCGAATTTGTAGACAATGCCGCTGCATATGTGACCCTGCTCGCTGAGTTATTTAGTCCAAGACCAGCAATATTAAGTCGACCTAGAGACAGAAATGCCTTGCTTGTGTGTGAAGCCATGTTTTCTCGAAGTCTACGGAAAACAGGGAGGGTCAAACTAAGAGGCTCGCGAGACGTTTATTGCAGCACACAGTCTGAGTTTAGTGCCCCCTATAGGTGAACACGTTTCTGGACACAGCTCGGGAGAGATGTAAAATTGTGGGGCTTGATTCAAGCCGAGGTAATACTTTAAAAAGTAACCTTAGAAATGTGTTGTTAAATGAATGGAAACGCATCTTTTTTCCCTCGAGGGGCATTTTCATCAACTGAGGGACCCTGGTGGTGTTTTAGCAGGTGCACCTCGATCAGCTGCTTCTTTTTTAAGAAGATGTGTCGCGTTCAAATGTGTCTGTAAAACCGGGATTCCTAAGTTACAAGTTGTCCAACATGTCCAGTGGCTAAAACAGGTGAGGTCTAGTTTTTGGTTGGAACCAGTTTCAACACAGTTACACCGAAATGTATTTGCTCTGTGTTGTTGTTGTTGTTGTTGTTGTTGTTGTTGTTGTTGTTGTTGTTGTTGTTGTTGTTGTTGTTGTTGTTGTTGTTGTTGTTGGCTATGTCAATATCAACTTCAAATGTAAACTGAAGGAGTAGCAGAAACATTGGACAATGTAGGCTACATGAATCTCTGTGGCGATAAAATGACATTAACCTGACCGAGCATGAAAGGAGAAGAGCCTGCATGTGGGGTATGTATGCTTATCATACTTTTTTCACTTGTTGTGGTTTTATTAGCAGCCAGCTTGTGCAAAAGCTAGCTACCCACACAGGGTCAGCCCACAGCCCAATGGTCCCACAGCCCTATGTTCCCACAGCCCTATGTTCCCACAGCCCAATGGTCCCACAGTCCTGTGTTCCCACATTAGGGGTTAGGGTAAATTAGGGTAAGTTACCCTAACCCTAACTGATACAAATTTATGAAAAAGGAAATGTGGGAACATTGTTGTTAGTTTTTGGAAGGACTCTACCTGTGACTTGATCCTGGGTGTTTCAATGACTTGACTTTCAGTGATTTGATTTAGTTAAGTTTAATTTAGGATAATCACATATCTTTTTCCTCATGATACTTGACACAAATCTTCAATATAATCCAGGACAAAATGATCAGACGTAGCCTACTATTACCCAGCTTGTTTGATTGTGGACCGTAAAAGGGAAAATCCATTTAAAACACCATTGCATATGAATGCATTTTCATCAAATTATACACATTAAACGTTGGCTTTTTGAAAAAAGTGAGAAAAATAATTCCCAGCCCTTTTTGTGCTTTATGTGTTGTATTTGATGTTTATGTCGATGGACAACACAAGCAAATTTCAAGGCATCTTTTTGCTCTAGAACTCGCCATCCCCATTATTTTAAAACACATTAGCTGTGAAAAAATACAAGTTCACAGGAATAGTGTACTACCACTACCTCATCTTGTATATTGGTCATTGTAACAATATTGCAGAAGTAGGCTACTACACTACGGCTTATCTTGCAATTGCTAAGTGTCCCGTAGTCTTTGAACGCAGCACTTGAACAGGCACAGGCAGCGATGCACTTCAAAGGGACAAGTCCTGCAGGCAGCAACCGAATAAAGGCTCGTGCTTTAATTGTATTTTTCATGTCATTGATTGTTTATTTTTTTAGTACTGGAACATTAGTTAATTCTGAAATCATTTTTTCTTCGACTGTATCCTGTTTTTTTTTATTTATTTAAACAAACACTAAAAGGCTAACTTGTTGCCTTGCTTCTTGTTTATTTTTATTTTACACATAATGTATCTAGTATTCATTGCGGTGTGCTTTTAAGTCAAGATCCGAAAGAGTAATTTGTTATATTTTTTTTGTTTCATTTCTGGAGGGTTTAGCTCTCAACTGTATCGTCGCATCAATTGATGTAAATACTGACATAACGTTTGTATTTATTATGCAACTTCATTAAACTTCCCCCACCGTGCTTTCTCAGACCGCCTCAGGCAGACGTCCGTACAGCGGATAAAAGGTAAGGGCTATGTTTTAAAAAAAAACAATATTTACCCCACGTGTTGTTATTGTGTCGTAGGTCCCACGCGTGGGTCGGTTTAGTTTAACAGTCACACAATACTCTGTAACTGTAGAGTCCCCCCGCAGTAGCCTCGGCGTGCCTGAGTTCATTGTGTGTCGTTAACTTTGTAGTTTTTTTTGGGGTTTTTTTAAAGGGGAGAAACTCTATCTACAGGGAGACAGCAGCGCGTGCGGTTCATGTCAGCGGTTCATCCGTAGGTGAGGACAGATATGGACGGGGTTGGCTGATAACAATGAGCCCGCCTCTCTTGTCCTATAAGACTTTTTCCGATCCGTTTAGTCAACAATCCGTCCATCCATCGCGCCATACCTTCTTCAGTGTCATTTTCAGACCCCCCCCCCCCCCCCCCACTCCCTTTTGAGAGGTCTACACTTATTAATGGTAGTCTACATGAGATGTCCTTTTTGTTAAGTGTCCTTGCTCTCCAGGTTTAGTTACAGGTCAGTTCTCATGTGAAGTCATAGGACATTTCAATTACAGGTAGGTTAAACAAATGGACTGTATTTCAGTAGCTCAAATTTAAAATACATTCTTTATTTGAAGCTCATATTTGCACAATTCGAAATCTCAAGTCTCTGTATTTGCTTAATCTGTTCTCATCTTATTGTTTGTGTACACAGTGAGCAGTAATTGCCGAAACATAATGAACATTAGTATTCCGTTTTTTATTGTGTAATGGGAGGTTTTTTTTGACAACATTGACTCCGAATATAAAGTATTCATCTGCATCCTAAAATATTTTTCTTGACTTTACCCTTGATGTGACTGTAACTTTAAAGAAAGAAAAAGGGGTAAACATGTAAAAGACAAGCTTTAAAAAAACCCCAACTATTACCATGGATGCAACTATCCACAGCTTTAATCAGTCTTATTTTCGTCTGCTCGCATCTTGATTAAGCTTCTGTGACATTTGATGTAACTGCTGGGGAGGGTCATCTGCTGTAGCTGTAATGGTTTGGTACAGGCTGGATAAACGCACTTTATGTTTGTCTCTAAATATTGTTAGACAACATGCTGTGCATTTTGTTCCATCTCCAAATGGGATACCTGACAAGTTTGACACCCATCAAAAAACAATACGTCAGGGGGATGCTTTGTAATTCTAAATCCTCAGAGTGACAGGCATGCATGGTGTTTGTGTTTCTGACCTGTTGCCACATTAAATACACACGGTCCTGCTCAGGTAATATAACATATCTGTTGTTGCTCTTGTATTATTTCAGTAGGTCAAAGTTTAAAAGCCTGCCTGTGTAACCATCCGCAAAAGTTCATAGTAATGTCACTGTGAGTTCTTACGCACAAACCTTAATCCCCCTCCTCTTTATAACCTCACAGACATGGAAAACCTGCAGCAGTATACAATCTGTACATAGATCTTAGAGCAAAAAGTAGGACTGTTACACAATGGGAAGCCCTAATCGGCATTATCGGCATTATCGGCATAAGCACAATAGGTCTCTGATCCGAGTTGAGTTGCAGTTCAAAAATAACGTGCAGAAGGTATTTTCCAGATTCTTAACTGATGATATTTTTGGAGTCTTAGAGTTTTGTGGCTATGTTTGACTGCCATCTGTTACAGTAGCAGATGTTTATGTAGCCGCAAATATATATTTGTCATTGGTTCAGGAACTTAGGTTTTGCTGTGTCTGACTCTTGTATTTTTCATGATGGATGCTAAGTTAACAAGGTCCCTTCTGTTAGAGGGCAGGATTTATTTTCAGTCATACTATCTCCATGACTCATGTCACTTCTTCCACTGCAGGTATGGGCACCCATGCAACACAGCAGAGAGCGCCCCTGTCTGCAGCGGGCAGCTAGCCATGCCCTGTTAGGTGTTTTCTCCATCTGAACCTGAACCTTGGACATCACCTCCAGGACTCCAGACTCACCTCCAGACTCCTTTTGGGCAACATGGAGGAAAAGCGGCCGCACTCCTTCCACATGACATGCCACGTGCAACGTGACTATGGCAGCAGGCTGGGGAGCTCCTTCATACGTTGCAGCCCTAACGGATACGCCAGCACGAACCTAAGCATGGACCAGGACATGGATGCTGATCCGGCAGAAGCCTCAAGCTGCACGACAGCTACTTCTTTTGCCCTGCGGGCTCCTGAGCCTGAAAGAAGCCACTACTCTCCTGTTGCACTGGAACTGGACCCCACATTGGTGAATAATGGCTCAGGCATCCCCTGCCGTCCACCAGCGGAGGACACAAAGGACCCTGCACTTGGGACAACAAACAGCCGACCCTCTATCACCACTATCCAACAGCCTCTCCCTCTTTCGAGCTGGTTGCATCATCACCAGAAGGAGTTCCAGAGCCCTTACATCAAGACTAGCATGCAGGGGGATGTTTACAACTTCCTAGAGAGGCCTGCTGGATTGAAATGCTTCCTTTACCACTTCCTGGTGTGAGTACCTGTCTATGCTGATTTCAGTGTAACCAGATGGGGTTTCCAAAGTGTAAAAAAAAACAGCTCCAGTCCCTCTGTCTTTAACTACATCTAGTGATAATCCTTCCAGTATTGGGTTCTGGTTCCCAGTAACAAAAGAAGGGGTGTATGTGTCCTGCAGGTTGCCTGCAGGGTGTTTTATGATAGGCCAGCAGCAGAAGCAAGTCGGCGTGATCTGGACAACCCCAGCTCTCTGGCACAGATGAGCTCCATCCTGCACTTCCTTAATGTCAACATATTAGCAAGCTCATGCATGAAACATGGAGGCTCCTTCTTCATGCTGCGAACCTGACCTGTGAGGGCAGCACACACTGACCTACAGTTAAAGCACAGCTTACAGTAATCACTTTACAAACTGCCTCGAAAAGACACCTTCTCTAACTTTTTATGGTTGCAATATGATTGGGGTTGTGATTACGTTGGGAGAGTTTTAGCATGGTGTAATAACAGAAAAGGATCATGATTCACAATCGTCTTAGGGATACATTTAGAGTCATACATAAAAAAAGTTATTTACACTGTCTAGTATCACTCGTAAAAATTGTATATTTTACGCCAGGTGTCCTTTTATCCCAATTCAAATATCATGGGAAACAGATTAAAGATGCAGTGGAAATGGGTTACAACGTGATTGAAATAACCTAGATATTCAAATATAAAGTTACAGAAAATAATCTAAACAATATAAATGTCTACAAATCTAGAAACTGAATCATACATTTGCATTTCTAATTTTAAGCTATTTTCAGACTGCCTGTTCAAAGCGCTACATTTACACCCCTGTAACGTCTTTCCTTCACTGTCACGTATCGGCGTGATGGGGGGACAAAGCGATCCCACCTCTGTACCTCTGCCGACTGAGGGGGAGAGAACAGTGCTGTGTGTGTGCATGTCTGAGTGTGTGTGTACGTGAAGCTCACACTGTTTCTCTAATTGTGTGCATTTCAAACTCTCAAATTCACAGACTGAGACGCTTTTATATTTCGCCGCTGCAGAATAAGATAAGATAAGATAAGATAATCCTTTATTTATCCCACAACGGGAAGAATAAATATGGACTTACAAAGACGTAATGACAGCAGAACTTTGTCATGGCGCTGTTGTAGAATCCCAGAATGAATGAATGTCATGACCAACACTCCCGCCCCCCCCCCCCCCACAACACGTGACTTAAAGATCTTATGTCTCTGAAGTATGCCCAGACGTCATTGTAAACCCTGCGCCTGTGGATTTAAACCAGATTAGAGAAAACATGAATGATAAATCTAGAAGTCAAAAGGCCTCTACTGAACTCTTTTAAATATTCAGCTGTCTCGCACATTAAGTAACCGAAACATATTTTATTTTTAAACATTACTGGGTTTGTTTCGATTTTCCTGCTTTGATTATGTAACATATTGTGTTTTAAAGAATGATTTCTATGCGTGACAACTCTACAGGACTACATTTTTAAAATAATGATAAAATGTAGTTGGGTTACAGTAACAGTATACAGCATCCTGATGACTGTTAGCAGCTTACTCTAAGGTTTTGGTTTCTGGCTCTGTTGTGGTTACACACACATCCTAAACTAGATCTTTGAGCTGTGCCTTCACCTTGAGGTTCAGGCCTAACTTAACAAACTGCATAATTCTGAAACATGCTCAAAGGGGGATGTAGATTATGTCCAACAGTTTAGTCAATGTAAGCATTGGCCTTACAAGGGTTAGGGCTGAATGTTCCCCATTGGTTGATATTTCAACCCATTAGATACCTTGTTTTTTTTGTTTGTAATTTTTTTTAGAAACTTAGAATAGAATAGATCTTTATCGCCATTGCTTTAAAAACAGGAAAAGGCAGTCTAGCAGCTCGTGTCAGTGGCAGAAGAGATACAAACAGAAATATTAATAAGAACAATGTTAAAAACCCCAGATACCATTAAAAGCACAACATACACTAAAAACAAAATAACAAACGCAACTGTCTATAATAATTCAAATGTATGAATTTGGGATAGTAACATGATAATCATGTTTTTCAATAAGCTTTTGTTTAAGTGAAAATCATTGAGGTTGTATACTTATGTATGATGGTGTTAAGAAGCTACCTTCATCACGATACAGTTATATCATTAAGATTACAGCTTTGCCTTTATTTGATAGGACAGCTGAAGAGAGACAGGAAATGCTGCGAGGAGAGAGAGTTGAGTATGACATGCAGCAAAAGGCCGAGGATGGACTCAAACCCACAGCCTCTGCAATGAGAGCCGTTGCCTCTCTACATGGGGCATGCAGCATAACCACTAGGCTATCCGGCGCCCCACAAAAATATTTTTTATGTGTGCAAGTACATCTTTGGTTGGCTGCAAGACACGTACAAAATAGGATGTTTTGTATAAATAGATCTGGGCCAATGTCTGATAATGAGGAGCTAGATGAGTTATAAAAAGCTACTTTCATCAAGGTCCCAGGATAATGGGTTAACGTTTAAATCCTTTATTATTACAAACTTTAACAGTTACAAAACAAAACACATTCTGACATGTGGTAAACATCAACATTTTCATGGCATCCCCAAAATGCCGGTTGACCAGGAACAGAATGTCACCATCACTAATGATTAGTGTACATATATTGAAGTTGGATGTGCCCTTTTCTGTTGTAAAAAAAAAAAGCAAGTAAGTAAAAAATAGCTACATAATAACAGAGGTTATTTTGGGCATCATAACTCATGATTTCACCACTTTTTCTGCACATAATTTTCCAGCATATTACATAGGATCTTGTATTTCTGGGCATGACAGAGCAGTTGGCAGCTCTGGCCAAAACTAACCAGAAGAAGTATTTGACATCTGGTAACAATCTTAAAATCGTCAACTTCTGAAGGGTCCTGTTCCTCCTAACTCATCCATGAGCCAAACACTGTGTGCAGTTAGCCTGCAATTATCTACTCAAGGCCTGATGTTAAGTCATTACACTTGGCAGATGTGTGAAAAGAGGTAGAATTACTCTGTCTAATTAGGACATTATTTTTGTCAATGGAAGATGAATGGAAACTCTGCTTGGACTCTGCATTATTCTGCATGTAGGTGTTATTTTGTGTGCCCTGCATGTCTCCGGCCCAGCAGTAATTGAGGGTCTAATGTTCTCCCCTCACAGAGGAGAGAGAACTTGAGCCTGTGCTTCATTTAATATTAAACCCTTCTGACTGATCCCCTCTGACACTTAAGTAACTCTTACTTGTGGATGGCTATCGCTGGTGGCAATCTATTCTCCTGGCCTCTTTACAGATTGGCAGTGGAGAAGGGAGGAATAAAAGGTTGTCTGCAGCACTCATGACAACACTAATAGGTCTGCTCTAATAGGCCTGCTCTGCATTATGATGACACACACAGACAGACAATACAACCCCATACACACACACACACACACACACACACACACACACACACACACACACACACACACACACACACACACACACACACAGGTGGTGGTTCAATTCATCACTTCCTTTATCGTGCTGGAAACAGCATCAGCAACAGCAAATTAACACACAAATACAGAACTGTGTGCATGCAGACACCGGCATACATGAGCTGAAACACACACACTTACACAGATGTGCAAATGGGGTCTGATTGCACAACACAATGTAGTGAAACTCATTGGCTCATACAGGCTTATAAATGCACTCATCAGCACGCCATCTGGCTGTTGTGGAACATCTGTCCATTCAGCAGGTGATGTAAGTGGATAACACACAACTGTGGGTAACAATTTGATTGAAGCATTTTTCAGAACAGTTTTGGACTCATTCATTTGTTCCTGACAACTGCTTTAGGAATATCCCAATATTCGGTAATTGGTAATATATACCAATATTCAATAAGAAAAAACTTTATCTGTTTTTACAGATTCTACTAAAATGTGGAATCTGGACTCAGGTGGTCTGGAAGGGTTATTGTTTCAGTTTTTGGTACTTTTGTAGACCAAGCTGTATTGACCAATGACATATCAGCAGGCTTTGGTGTATTCAGGAAAAAAAGTCCATATGGAAACCAAAGGCAGGCAGAACGCAACCTAATGCGAATGCTTGCTACACAAGAATGACCAAAAAGTTGGCATCCATTCCAAGAGGCAATTTTCATCGTTGGATGATGATAGACGATTACCAATGTCTTCAGAGATTGGAAAAACTAAACTTGTTTGTTTGTTTGTTTTGATTCCCAAACAGATGGAGATGTTCTGTTCCATTAACTCTGACATTTTCTTTTTTTTGTTTTGTAGCTGACTGTAAACTTTCTTTAGATCGGCGCTTCACAAAAAAACTTTTTAACACATGAATATAATCTGTAACCATCACATTTGTCCAATTACAGAGTATACAGACAGAAACACATACTATGCTCATGAGGACAGACTTAGTAAGAGTAGGTAGAATACTCCCGGACTGGGGATAACGAAGAGAGAGCCCGAAAAGAGTCTTACGCAACGGCATGCAGTCTCACAGGCACACAGAGAACCTGGGGCAGTGATCCCCTTCATGATGGGCCTCTCCCTCTGAGTCTTTTACATAACTAAAAGGGATGAACATGCAAGTCCTCATTGCTCATAAATGCCCTTCTCACACTGCAAGTAGATTCAGCTTTACCGTTGATCCAATAAGTCTGTCTGAAGGTGTGTTAAGATGCAGAAAAGTTGGAAAATTCAGTTTAGAAACAAATTTTGAGTTTACATAGTAGATAAAACAGAGATCAAACTAGAAAACCTTTTTTTTTTTCTTTGCATTTTTTCTAATCAATATGCCATTATTTTTGACAACACCATTACCACATATAAAGAGACCAATGTGTGCCAAAGGAAGCACTGCACCTGTTTATCCTTGTGAAACTGCAGTGGGCCAGATGTTGTCAGGAACCTTTGGTTCTGTGTGTTTTCCTATTAGGACAGATTATGAAAAGGCTGCAGTGAATCTCT